GAGAAGCAGGAACAGCAGCAGCAGCAGCCAAAAATGCTTGAGCCCAAATGGCCGTAGCCATTTTGGCTCAAGCATTTTTGACCCCGGAGCGCAAACTTCTGTTTTTGTCCTTTCCTTTTCCACCTGTGCACGCACATACGCACCTGCCAAAGATAGCTTGCCTGTGGCGGCGCCCGACTTATTGTCTCTTTTCTCGCTAGCTATGCATGGGCTCCGAAGGCTCACCCAGGAGGTCACGATCTCCCGGAAAGATGAACCGGGGATTACGACCATCGCCCAGACGGCGGCCACTGAGGCTGCACGCAAAGTATGCGCAGAGTCGGAAAAGAAGATGAGTGCGGAAATTGCGCAAGTGCGGGCCCAGATGGCTTCGACCTCGTCCTGCGCGGGGGCTTCCACGAGAGGCGGTACCTTCGATCCAACTCCATCGCCTCCGTTCTGCAGAAATGGGACATTCGTTCCGCAGTGGGTGGGAATCAAAGGCTACATCATGAACTGGGACCAGAAGATAGACAGCGCCCTGCTCGGATACGTCAACAAGCTCACCGCCAACATGGACACAGACAGCCATCCACTCATCGATACCCAGGGCCACACAGCGGATCTACGACTCCCGCACCTTCAACACGAAGATCCAGACGATGGTAAAAGATCCAATTCGCGCGAAATGCTGGACACTCAAGGCGGCCACTGACAAGGCCATCAGCGGCACACCTGACGAATTCACCACAATTCCAAGACTAGCTCCGTGGTGGTCCAGGTACCACCAAGCATGACCAACGTGAACATGCAGTGCGCTAACTTTCATGGGCTCGCCGAGCAGGCACGTGTACCGCGTACCGTATACAATATCGACTATGTCAGGACGCCTTGCACGGACATTTGCCACCTCCACATCCAGCATCTGGTACATGGACGTCGTCCCAAACGCTTGGCCACTTGTGACGGCGACTGGGCCATCCAGCCGGAGGAGTGGGCAAGTCTGAACCAGAATGCGGTGCAGAATCTTCGCCGCGCTTGACGGTCCCTGACCTTAGGCCGCTTGTTGGAGAAGATCGACGGCCTCAAAGTTATACAACTGAATAGTGGGAACCTTGGTTTCGCGGAATTCCCAGACGCGCTGTACGATTTCCGCAGGTGGTATGGGAGCCCAAACGTTGTCATCTGCCTCCTGGCATCAAACTGGCCGGAAGAACCGGAGCTACATGGGTGGGAGATTCGACACGCACACGAATCACACGTAGGTCTGGTCTGTCCAAGTGGGATGGCCGGGAACGTCAGTCGCGAATTCTTCCACGAAGGACCCAGTAGTTGCGGGATGTGTTTTGGACCGATTGGAACTGCCACACCCTATCTTCCGCAGCCAGGACGCCCGCAAGACGAATTTCGACGAGCAGCAGTCCGCGATGCAGAAAAGTTCATTGTCATTTTCGTCACCATCGACATGTTAAACATCACACTTTGGGGGGCGATCTCAATACACACATTCCTCACATCGAAAGCACAATTGGTCCGGGTGCCGATGGTTCTTCGGTTTTTGGTCCTTATCTTGAACGTCAACAACGACTCATTGAATTATGAAGCTATATCCGCTGCCCCCTTTCGTCTACGTGTGCCGACCTCCTGAACCACGCCACCACGCAGCCATCATGTACGCCGCGCGCGTGGGGATTATTGACTACGTTGCCGCGGCGTCCCGGCTGAACACCCGATCTGCCATCGGGAACGAGGTAGAGCTAACAGCACCGTCCGGCCGTCGTTTCGATCATTTGCCGCTTATGGTTGTTATCTCCAGCTCTGGCGCCAACATCGGCCACGCCTTCCGCGAGCCCAGCGTCCGGGGATGGTCCGTTGAGGACGCAGATCTCGACAACTACCGTGAAATGGTCGAGGACGTCTTCCAAGAGGTCTTTGAACTTCGGGGCGTTTCCGGGGCGATTGCCGCAAGCGCGTGCAGCATCCATTTTACCACGTCTTCGTCGAGATCCCGGCAAATCCGGCAAAAGCCCCCATTGTGAAGCAATTGGAAGCTGAGGAGCGTGCATGTTCGATCGATTGCTAGCAACAAGTCCGCAAAGGGCTACGGAAAGCTCGAAGACAATGGAAACGCAGCGTCCTACGCCACACCACGCTTTCGGTTAGAGTAAGCTGAACAAGCTGATCTTGAAGTCTCTGAAGGGCCCCGATGGTTCCCCCAGGTGCACGATCACGCCATGTGGCATGATATCATACGCACACACTGCATGAATATGCACATGGACCCCACTGGTCGGACGACGAGCTCATTGCCTGCGTCGCCGGCTTCCTGGAACAAGTTGATGCTGCACGGGATGTCGACATGCAAATCTCGGATATCCTTGCCGGCCTGTCTGATCTGAAAGCAGGAAGCACCCCGGGAATGGATAAAGTGTTTGCTGGGATGGTGCAGAATCTCCCCATTGAGGTCGTTTACAAGTAGGGGACCTCTTTCGTGCGCGATTTGCTGGCGGGGTGGGGGGCC